GTCAAGCTTGCTCACGGAACCAAAGTGCATGCAGCATGCACATTGCCTGCGTATAAAGCAACACCCAACCGACCGTCAACCAACCGTCAACGCCCATCGCCGTCGCCGTTCCTTCCTTCGGGATGCCCCTTACTCCGGCGTCTGGGGATGTCAACGATGAAGAATATGAAGAAGATGAAGGATCGCGACGGAGGATACTAGTTCCTACGTAACAGAGGACGACCCCTTGAGCTCTTCAGGGACTCCCCCTGCGGAATCTGATTCTTCTCGGATTAGATAACCAAGGAACCAAGTCCTTAGCAGCTTGGCTAACTAGGCCGTGCCGTGGTCCAAGTGCTGCGACTCCACACCGACTGACTAGACTAGTTCTGGCCCGCTAGAGAACATAGCGCACGAGAGAGTGGCGAGGAGAGGGAGAGGGCGAGTGACATCTCCCAGACGACTTCGGTAGGATTGGGATTGATATCGATAGATACCGACACATCAAAGTCGAGCCGAGTCGAGCCGAGTCGAGTCAACTCGACGCGGTTTCATCTTCATCTTCATCTTCAAGGTCTACCATGCACGTCGCGATCGACGAGGAGCTGTCAGGACGGAAACCGAAGCCTTGAACCCGGCCACTATTGCAAGCACCTGTCCACTGTTCACTGTCTAGGGGGGCTGAGTGCGGGACTCCGACACGATTGTGGATTTCGGACTGGCGATGCGGGAAGAGATTTCGATGCCGTCGAGTTCAAGAACTCTTTACTTCTCAGGAGTCAGGACCTCATGCAGTGGGGACTCGCAGGAACGAGGAGTGAGAATCAAACTTTAATGACTTCAGTGTTCTTACGCACAGAACTGACAAACGTCTCGGCTCTTTCGTTCACGGTTCACCCGGTATAGAGTATCGTACCTTCGGCCCAGCGGCCAGCCGAGTAAAGTAAGGCTCATAGTGCTCATGGTGCTTGACTTTATCTCACTCGTTCCCAGCAAACAACCCCTAACCCTCCAAGTGCAAAAACGCTCGTAAAAGTCGACATACCGTAGTCTACAGTAGCAAGGTCGTAGGTATGTGACGGTAAATTGATACTGACGGATCGGGACTTGAGAGGGGATATGCACTGACACATACCACTGTGCCACGACCAGCTGGTTGTGAGTTTTGTGACTTGGGAGTCTTCTTGTTTAATCATTGATTGCATGCGACCTGTCTAGATCATGGCAATATCTACCCGTACACCCCCCCGTTTCCACGCCACTGTCCGACTCGACTTTCACCGAGCAGCCCGATGTGGCTTTCCCTGCTATCCGCCTCGGCTGTGACACTGGAGTCTAGGTTGGAATGTTAGTCCCGAGTCCCGACTTGAGCCAGCTCGAGTGACACAGGCTGGATGGATCGTGATCGCAGGTATTCACGGTTCAATCGCATCGAAAGTTTTCGTGTGAAGTCCCTTCCACATACCCAACCCACCTATCTGCATCATGAACCACCCCCACTACTTAGTTCATCCCGAACCCCCTTCCTCCCGGCCCACATTCTCTTCTCTCTTCCCCCCCACACACCCGCTTCCCCCTCCTCCTGCCCCACATATTCCATAATACCATATACCACACACAAACCAAAATGCAACCAACCCACCTCTCCACAATCCTCTTCACGACCATCCTCACCTCGCTCCTGCTGCTATTCATCTGGCTGAGCACACTGCTACTCATCACCCTTCCCAGCATAGCAGTATCATACGTATCATACGCGTGCATATTCCTCATCACTGGAAGCGGCGGGGGCGGGGGCGGGGGCGGGGTTGTCCGGGGAGGGGTGGTCCGCAGCGTAGTCCGGATCGTGGTCCGCAGCGTAGTCCGCGTGTTATTTCCAAGACGGGTGGGGGTGTTTCTGTACGGCGAGGGGCTAGATGGGGGGGAGGTGGGGAAGGTGGGGGTGGCGGGGAAGGAGGTGCTGGGGGAGTTCTATGTGTGGTCGCTGAAGCCTATGACGTTGGCTGTTGACGTGGAATGGAGGCGGGGGGGACGGGGGAAGAGGGAGGGTTGGAGAGGATGATGGGGAGGGCTGAGTTTGCTGATCGATCGGTTCTGGCGGGCTCGGGCTCCCGAGGTCGGAGGGGGGTGGACTTTGAAGGTAGACCGGTTTCTCGCCAGCCAGCCGGCAAGATAGATAGATAGATAGATAGATAGATAGATAGATACTGCCCTTTCCCTTTCCCTTTCGATCGTGTGCCCATGCCCACTATGTCCCGAGTCGACGCGTAAGGGGGGGATGACGCTTGAGGCGACGGGAAAACCGGTACAGACAGACAGAGCACCGTCGAGTAGGTAGATACATCTTGGTATGTGGGAATGTTCATCATGTACCCTAGACTCGCTAATCACTGACTTGAGCGAAGTCATATTCATCGGCCGGAACGATGTCGGATGGATCGGATGAACCGGATGAATCGGAATGGTAGGAAGCAGGTACTTCTACTATCATATGTAAGTAAGCAGGATTGATGTGGGTGGGTGGGTGGATAGGAGCGGAGGCCTATGGTGGTGAGCGGGGGAAAAGAAGAATGCGGGGAGCGAGGGAAGGGAGGGAGAGGGGAGAGGGCAGCTGGTCAGATTTATGATAAACGTCATCGGTGGGAGAGACGGATGGTGGCCACTGCCCACTCTCATCGACGGGAGGTTGGATGATCGTTGGGGAGTTCACGGGGATATGTATCGTATCATATGTGCTAGCATGGCACGGGTGGCACGTGTGGCCTCAAGAGGGCTCGGTGATCATAAAACGATTATGATGTACCCGTACGGTGGAGTGCTGCTCTCGATAAAGGCCCGCGCCACAGTGCGTGGTAAGACGGTAGACCCATCTCCAATATCGGATCCGCGCTAGGGCATACCCAGATAGATATGTGTACCATGGTCGTCAGCTGAACAAGGCCCCTACCTAGCGGCTATCGCGGATGCAGGAGTGGTGTTTAGTGCGATGGTAAGTATGGAGTTGATTGGCATCTAAGAAAAGCCGCGTAGATGCAGATGGCAGATGCCTCGTCGAGCCACCACTGCCCAGACGCAATGGCATCCCGCTGGTGGTGTTCGGATCGGTGGCCCACTCCTTGCCTCGATCTTCCGATAGGAAGAGTACTCAGCCCGACAAGGGTAGAAACAAACTTCGTGAGAGGCTGGCTGAAATTCCCAGCAGCGCGTCAATCGTGGGAGCGAAGTGGCTTCTCCGAGTCGCTATTGGCCGCGCCCCCCGGGGGCGTGCGGAAACCGCTGGCCAACCAGCGGGCTGGAACGACCTTTCTCCGCTGACGTAGAAATCCAGTCCGCCAATCATCGCGCGTGATTCATCGAGGGCTTGCCGATTGGTTATGGCTGGTTCGACGTGTCAGTGGAATACACAAAGCATGTGTAGGATGTGTGTACTCTACCTCGAAGATCAATCTGACTCGATTCGGAACTTGGGCGACGGTGTGCCGTATGTACCCATATGGGACGAGGCTTCCCTCACTCCACTGCTCGGTGTCGTGGGACGAGCGTTCCCTCGAGTGCTCAGTTAGGCGACACACAAACCACAACAACCACAACACCTGCCGTACCGGTCGATCCTTAGGAAGACGGTTCCGTCTCAATCCTAGCACTAGGGATGCGGTCATCCAGCCGACCGAGCGGAATAGCGAGGAATGGAGGTGGACGGACAACCGGACATTCCACCGTGCGTAACTGTAGCTGGCTGTAGCCTGTCACTCGTATTTTTATCCACGGTGATTTCTCCGGTCCCGTCGTCGCCACACATGTGCGGGTGTGGTGCGGTGCGGTGCGGCTATGATGCTTGGTGAATCGTGAGTTTCAGCGGCGGAAGGAAGGTTGGGTTGGTGAAAGGCGGGTACCCGCGCGTGGCACAGCGGGGATCATACTTTCTTACTATGACCTACTCCAGATATATGATACATCGAGGCCTATATCGAGTGCGACCCGGACCCGGGTTTGGTTTCAGGTATAGCGACTACTCGCGAGCATGCGGACGAGTGGTGCGGGCTACAGGAATAGGTGCATTTATTTATTTATTTATTCATTGTTCATACAGCTTGGAGCCCTAAGGCTATGGCAGATAAAGAAAGGAAGTACAACAACCAGAAGCAAAACAGAAACAAGTACGCAAAGCAGAAAGCAAAAACCTAACAAAGAAAATCCTCCACCCGGCCGCCTGCCACCCTCCTTCCCTATCTCCGTGCTCAGTTTTGTAAAGAAATTCGTGCGACAAAGGAAACCCCTTCCGGGTCCTTGGCCTTGTTGTTTTGATCGTTCGTGGTCGTCGTGGTCCTGGCCGTGTGCCTGGGCTCTCCCCCTGGAGTTCACCCTTTCCTCCCCTCTTCCCCCGCCAACAGGAATAGGTGCATGTGAATCCCAGATCCTTCGTCGACTCGAGACGAGACTTGAGAGTCGAGAGGACCTACCTAAAAACATGTCTGTCGAACGCAATCATGAGTGTACGCACCAGGAATGGGTGGCCGCCGAGCCCTTACTGCAACCGGGAAATTCCCGCCACTCGAGTTCGCGCTAACTTCTGCCTGGTTGCCTGGGAGCTCTGTCGTCGGGATGGATGCACACGGCATGATTCCGTCCGGGATCACAGGGGACGAAGGGAAGGACGTGTGAAGACAAAGTGCGGAGGTGGGGTGGTAATGGTGATGGGTGACGGTGTGTACTCCAAGTCCCTAACGCCTGTCTGTAGCTGCCAAAGGAAGCGCTGGGATGAGCAGACCGCCGTCCATCCTCCAATGAGGGCCAGAAGCGAGTCGATGATAACTTACGGCAACAGCTGAGCTGTATAAAGCCACTGTCCATCCATCCCTCAATCGGCAGTGGCCCCCATCCCACATCGCACATTCCCCCATCGCACCTATCCACTCTCGTTGATCTGTAACCAGCAATTTTTCACTTACTTCCAACCGAATAACCAGTAACCATAATTTCCCTCCTGTGTTTTGAATCGTTCACTTCGCACCGGTCACACCATGGCTCTTCTCCGCCTCGTCGCCCTCCTCATCGTACTGATCGCCAGCGTCGCCAGCGTCACCGGCGCCGCCGTTCGGATACCCGCCACCCTGCAGGCGCGCCAGACCCAGGCGACATGCGAGCAGTCGTGCGGGTCGAGCGAAGAGTGGTGCGCGCAGGGCGCGCGCGACAAGCTGCTCGCGTACGCGAGCTGCCTGAACAACCGCGGGCGGAAATTCATCTACCGCGGCGGGCTGCTCAGCGTGCGGTGGGGCGGCACTTTCTGCGTTGCTGCGTTCGTCACCGCCGAGAACAACAACGTCATGGTGGAATGCGCGCTGCTCGAGGATAAGCTCAACAACGTCATCAATAAATGCTTCGTCGATCGGGATAGTGGCAGCGGTAACGACTATCTGCCTGCCAGTCTGAGGTTCTGGTACTTTGGCATCAACACGTGCGATGGAAGGAGAATGGCCGTGGGCGCAGAGATGGAGCCCGTGGTCGAGGCGGCGTTGAGTCTCGGCAACAACGAGGCGAACGGGCTGCAGACTATGTCGGAGGACGACGAGGAGAGGGGCGTGATCGACTTCTTGCTAGAGAAGCAGGAGGGCGTCAACGGGACTGATGTCTTCAATCTTCCGTACTCCAGAGGTGCCTGGAGGACGGTGTGTCAGCTGGGCGAGAAGGAGCCCAAGCTCAGGGAGATGTACGGCGGGTGCGAGTGAAGGATGCAGAATGGGAGAAGTGCAAAAAAATCATTGTGTTTACTGCGATTGATCACATTGGTAATTTGGTACTACTTGTATATTCAGTCGTTCGAGGTAGAAAATACACATTCTTCCTCTCCGGTGACGCTCATTGATGACTGGTCTACTACCTATCTCAATCGCCACTCTGTGAAACGTGCCGTAGCTACATCTACATGCCACGTGCCTTGCAAATACGCAGGTACAACGGTACCTCGAGTGACAGCCTGTGGAGTGATTCTTCCGACGCTCTCGGCATGGCCTGCCGGCTTAGTCATGGCCGCTTCGCTCGATCGGGGCCACTCGGCTAGCCCGCAACCTTATCCGGACCGCAGCTCCCACGACCACGTCCACGACCTCGCTGCCCCTTTCTTCCTTTCTCCCCAGTGCTCGAAACCACCTTACCAAGGACCCCCCAACCCCGCACCCCACATCGCCCCAGCGTTAGTTTCTGGGCACGTTCCACTCAGACCCCCTGGGCAACCGTGCTCAACGGATCCCCATTCAATCATGATGTCCCTCATGCGTCTCCGGCGGCACCGAGTGCCTATCGCGGTCGCCATCTTCCTCATCGTCGGACTGTACCAATTCGCGTCTCTCCGATCGACATCCTCGACGAGTCGCTTCACGCCCGACCATTTGAAAGACCACACTCCCTTAGTAGTGCATGAGCACGTCATCCCTCCTCCCCCCACAATCCCAGAGGTCAAGACCGACCCGGTGAACCAACCCCCTCACCAGGGCACCGTCACCGTCCCCGAAGCAGTGGGAGAGAAGGAGAAGGAGAAGGAGAAGGAGAAGGAGAAAGTCGAACAGCCGAAGCCAACGGTCGAGGTCCCAGCGGAAACGACTGCCACAGCAACCCCCGCGCCCAAGACGATCCCAGACAGGCCCGCGCAACCTGGGACACACTCGCACGGTGAACCGGCAGATCAGCACTCGTTGCCCGAGCTCGAGGAACACTACACTTTCCCGAAACCGCACTACCCGCTCCCGTCGTCGTTGATCAAGATCCCTCCCGCGGCTGCTGCAGCGATCCCGCAGATCCAAGCTCAGTTCCCAACGGAAAGCGAGAAGGACAAGAAGACTCGGCTCGCGAGGCAGAAGTCGGTCAAGGATGCCTTCCTCGTCTCTTGGAACGCGTACCGTGTCCATGCCATCCCCCACGACGAGCTCGTCCCCGTATCGAGCACCTTCAAGGATCCTTTCGGCGGATGGGGTGCGACGCTGGTCGACGCGCTGGATACGCTGTGGATCATGGATTTGAAGGAGGACTTCAAGGAGGCGGTGAGCTACGTCGCGAAGATTGATTTCACCACCACCACTATGCGCAAGATGCGGGTGTTCGAGACGGTGATCCGTTACCTCGGCGGTCTCGTCGCCGCGTACGATCTCACCGGACACGATCCTGAGTACAAGGTGTTGCTCGACAAGGCGGTGGAGCTGGCGAACGTGCTGATGGGTACCTTCGACACGCCTAACCGCATGCCGCTGTTGGCTTTCGGATGGCGGGAGAGGGATCTCCTGAGGCATCCTAGAGCCGATGGTCGTTCCGTCGCGGCAGAGTTGGGATCGTTGTCCATGGAGTTTACGCGGCTGGCACAGATCACCGGGAACGAAACGTACTACGACGCCGTGGCGAGGATTACAGATGCGTTGGAGGAGTATCAGGACAAGACGTCATTCCCTGGCCTGTTTCCGCTCTACATCGACGCTAGTGGATGCAAGCGCATCAGCTATAAAAAGGTCCCCACTACCACCACTACCAAGGCTGCGCCGGCCGCAACGAAGGAGACCGAGCCTATCGAGCCTGCCAAGCTTGCCGTCGAAAGGCCTCTCAAGGTTGCGGGAGTCGTAGGCGGGACCGGAAAGGAAGTCACCCCAGTGGCGGTCAAGTCGGAGACCGAGCCTGCCGAGCTCGACGTCGAAAGGCCTCTACAGGTTGCTGGAGTCGTAGGAGGCACCGGAAAGGAAGTCCACCCAGTGGTGGAGAAACCCATCCCCCACAAGGCGGCGTCCGAAGCTGCGGTGCAGCCTCCGCCGGTCGCCGTTGATGCCGCGGATGCGCCCATCCACCACGCCAAGCGGGAGAATGTTGCCCCCGGTGCCGGCGTCGAGGTCGAGGAGGAGGAGGAGGAGGAGGAAAAGCCTACCGGAAGATCGTCCGAGATTGGGAGGCAACAGTTGAATCCCACGAAGAAGGCGCCCCAGAAGGACTGCGAGGACCAGGGACAGGGGCTGGCATCACCACACCTCGGGAGGGAGGACACGTACGGTCTTGGAGCCATGATCGACAGTCTGTACGAGTATCTGTTAAAGGTTCGTGAGCTCCTATCCCCTGGTGATGGGGCGGGGATGGCTAACAGTTGAACAGCAATACTTGTTGATCGGTGGACACGAGCAATACAACAGGATGTACTCCAAGTTTGCGGACATCGCTGCGACGGAACTCACCTACCGCCCGCGTGCTCCCGGCAACCCGGATATCCTTCTCGCCGGCAAAGTCAACGTCAAGCGCATCGGTGGACACCGCTCATTCGAGACGGAATCTTCGCATCTGGCCTGCTTCGCTGGCGGTATGTTCGCCATGGGCGCTATGGCACTGGACCGCCCCAAGGACCTCGAAGTCGGCTCGAAGTTGACGGACGGCTGTGTCTGGGCCTACGACTCGATGCGCAGCGGCGTGATGGCTGAATCGTTCCGCGTCATGGCGTGCGAGGACAAGACCAACTGCGTCTACTCTCGCGACGCGTGGGTCCAGCAGCTCGAGCCATCGGAGGAGTTCGTCAAGGTGCAGAACGAGCCCGAGTACGGGCATACGTCGCCCGAGGCCATCCTCGTGGGTGGAAAGGACGTCCCAGCGAGAGCAACGGAAGATGTGACCGAAGAGAAGGAAAATCCCGATGCAGCCGTGCCTCCGCCTGCCGCCGATGTGGACGATCCCACTCCCGTCCATCAGCCTGGAAAGCGCAGCCCACCAATCTACTCCGAGGAGGAGCCCAAAACCGCGAGAGACTACGCCGAAGCCATCATCGCGGCCGATGATCTTCCGGACGGATACCTGAGCATTGGCGACAGGAGGTACATCCTCCGCCCCGAGGCCATCGAGAGCGTCTGGTACATGTACCGCATCTCTGCGGATAAGGCGTGGGCCGATAAGGGTTGGAACATGTGGGAGCATGTCATCAATGCCGTCGGCGTCGAAGGCGGCGGAAAGGGACCTGCAAGCGCGGTCGCCGACGTCTCGTTGGATCCCAACAGTATCGACTGGGACTGGTTGAATTCGATGGAGAGCTTTTGGTTTGGCGGTGCGTACATCCTTGCCCACCTATTCGGCGAACAAGACACTGACGACGTGAACAGAAACCCTTAAATACTACTACTTGCTCTTCTCCGAGCCCTCACTCGTAGATCTCGACGAGTACGTCCTGAACACGGAGGCGCACCCGTTCCGCCGGGCAGACTACGGGAAGCGCGGCAAGAAAACGACTACTTGATGTGTATTTTGACACCCTGTTTGGTTGATGTGCGGTGAACGTTTCGTTTTTTGTTTATGGATGCGGCGATTCCCTCCCCTTTTTGCAGTATGTTCAACTTGGTTGCCCGCTGAGAATTTTGGGGCTCATACACTACTTCGTTACGGTTGATGTTATTTTCTCCCTTGTTTTTTGCACCGTTCTGTATGGCTTTGGGAGGGACTGAGGTCGGATGTGTTGGTGGGGTTGATGGGGTTGGTGGGGTTGGTGGGTATGAATATACGGGATACCATTTCTTTCTTTCGATATGATCGTGACACTGTCTTGAATACGTTCAACAGGAGGGACAAACCCACTCTATGGTACCGAGTTGATGTAACCATCGATCTCGGTATCCACTCTCCAAAATTCCGCAGGAGGCAGGAGTGTAGGAAAATTTAATATCTCCACGCGGCCACTCGCGAAGTAAGGATATGTCTTTTCCCTATTTTGAGTGCTTATTGGTCGCGTGGAGAGATAAATCCGCACGTCGCAATCTGATAACTGCCACCAGCAAATCATGCGACCCCCCGGGCCCCCGCGGCTACGTGCGTATCTACTCTATGTAGGGACGTACGTCATGAGACCGACCATGGGTGTGCACTGTGCAGAGTGATAGTTACACTCCCGTTCGGCAGGGGTACATCCGCCCTACATATCATACATACCTAGTACCTACAGCTTAGCTATCCGGATTCCGGATATAAAGTCCTCCTGGCCCGCCCGCCTTCGCCGTTGACATTGATATTCTCACTCCATATCGAAAATGCGGCCCTCCCACCTCCCCCTCCTCCTACTACCATGCCTCGTCCTCTCGCAGCAGCTGTACACGCTCGGCGTTGGCAAATCCGACGTGACGGGACCGGTGGTGGAGATAGGAATGATGGGGTATGCGTCGCTCGCGCAGAAGGGCAGCGGGCTGCGGCAACGGATATTCTCGCGCGCGT